GTTAAAGTGATGGTTTAAAATTATAGACAAAGAAAAGGAAAGGCAATTAAAGAATTAAAGAGTGCTAGAATTATCTATAGATCTTTGAAATCCTTTTATCATGAATAAAAACTTAAACTTGAATCTATTGGAAATATATATAGACTCTATTTCTATAAGGAATAATTACACATATTCAAATAAATTTTACATAAACTTATTAATAAACCAGAAATCAGAGGGATTATTGATTAGACTCCTCTTTACCATGAAGATTTTTAGAAACCTAATAAGATTTATGATTCAGAAGTTTTCACTTATAGACTACCTAGTTAATTCAATTTATAAAGCAATCCTATTTATTTTAAGAATATGCTAACTTATCCTGCTTCTTTATGTAAAATAAGTTGCTGCTTGTAATAATTAAAATTAAGTATAATCAAAAAATGGAAATCAGTGACTAAATTTACTCAAGATGTACATCCTTATTCTTATTTGCAAATGTATGATGAATTGATGCCTGCCAGAAAACCTTATTTTATTATGTACAAATTACCAAAGTAGGATAAAGTTAAATATGAAAATTGTTTAAAATTAATTAACAAATTTTAATAACGAGAGTACAAATAATTATATGTTATAAATTTAAGCAAAGAATATATCTCATTAATAATTAAATGTATAATTTTGCACAATAAGGATCATCCTTCATAATTATTTATAACAATATTTGAAAAATAATTGAAAGAAGCTGTGGCAGCATTAAAGATATAAAGATAATTTAGAGCCTATCAAGATGTAAAAAAGAATGGCAAAACTATGCAAACTATAATTAATATTTTAGTAAAGGAAAGATCCTTATTAATTTTATAAAAATGGTTTAAAGATTTGAAAATGCATCATAGAAATAATTTTTTTAAGGTTATTGGATATCGACTTAAATAATTCACTCAAAATGTGTTATATTTAAATTACTCAATTTATATACAATTAAGATAATGTGTATCAAAGTTGCAATTTCTTGAATAAAAATCAAAAATTAGTTTGATTAACTATAAATTCCATATCTCTTTTGAATAGTTTCCTAAGAAAAATATTATACCTATTTGGTTAAGAAAATAAATTATTAAAAATGATGATGAAGATTAATAAGAATTTTCAATTATTTAAAATTGTGATGTATATCATTTATTACATTTTGATACTTAAAGTGAAATAAAGAATTTATTAAATTAAAAATGGTTAAAAATTACATTCCCTTAAAATGAATAATTAAAATTGAGACTATTTTTATTGGCTCTATATACTTATTCTTTTAAATATTAATGCTTTGTATAATTGTATTAAGAAAATGAGTTATTAGAATAAACTTAAATTGTAAGATAACAGGATGAATTACTTATGAAAACATATCTAATTTAATAGTAAACTGATTTTGTAGAAAATTGTGAAATTCCATGTAAACCATCATTATGGTTATCAAAATTTTTATCTGATAAAACAACCAATGAAATTGAAGTAAGATTTTATAAAAATGGAATTGATTAAAAAAATAAAAAGAAAAAAAACATTTCAAAATTGCCAGAATGTGAACAAATCTCAACTTAACTTTTTTTCAGTTCTATTAAAAAACAATTTAATTAATTTTCATATCCTTAAATCAAACAAAATTGTCCTACTGCATCAACTAATGTTAGGACAATTACTTAAACTGATAAACCTAAAACTGCACTATAAACATTTATATTTTAATAGGATAGTTTTGAATAAGAACCCAGCAATGTAGAAAAATAATACTAAAGATTGAAATTACTCACAAATTCTACACGATAACATCTGAGAACAAAATCTGTTATCAATAAAAAATAAGGATTATAAGTAGAATTGCCATCATTTTTGCAATAATAAAATATTAACTTAAGTTATAGTGTAGGAAGATAAAATAACTAACCAGATATATCAAAATAATTGCAATATTGGGAAGATAGAGAAAATCAATAGAGATAATCAATAAAAATGTAAAATTTAGAAAAAAAATCAGCCAAATTATAGATTCAACAGGAAAGGTCTTTTTATTAAGAATTCAATATTGGTTAGAATCTTATAAGCAGATAAGGAGATAGACATTAAATTCGACTATATTAAAAGAAATAATAATAAATATCTTAGTAACATGTCCAATAATTTAAAGAAAAATCTAATCACATTAAAGAGATCTAGGCTACAAATAACAAATTGAAATTGTAAGCAATTAAAGAAGCTAATTCTTAATATAAAGCTTCTCTTGAATAACCAGAATAATAAATTAAACCTATCTAAAGAAACTAAACAAAAAGAGTAGGAATAACTAATAAATATATCCATTCTGTATTACCTGAAGAGATATTTCCAATAAAAATTGATTTTTAAAATATATGATATAATTAAATTTATAAATACATGGGTTGTTAATGTTGTAAGGATGAAGAAAGTGTTAAAGATAGAAAACAAAGTGAGTTACCAGATAATTGGAATCCAAACAGAGTAGAAATAATTAATAGTAAAACAAAAGTCAAAGTTGTTTATTCCCCTGGGGATTCTTCCAAAATTGATAGCAATATCTATGCTGTTAGTACAAAAGGTCTTTCACCCTTATTTTCAAATTAAATATTTGAGGCTGCATAAGAATGTTTATAAGCTAACCAAGGAGCATTTGAATATGGGAATTGTTATTAAATTTAAAATAAAGAAAAAAAAATATTTCTTGTATGTATTCCAATGTGGAGAGGTGGATTATTTAAGGAAAATAACTTAGTATAGATGGCTTTTAATTAATTGGCAAAATAAGTTAAAGAGTGCTCATTGAAATAAGTGGTTATTAATGAAGTAGGTGTTCGATATTTCGGGTATCCAAGATAAGTATAATAAATAATTCTATATAATTAAAGGTAATTATATCAAATTTGATGCATTCATTTAAATAGTTTATTCTAGAAGAGACTTATTTAGAGTAAATCATATATACTTCAAATGACAGAGCAACTATAGCCTTGATTGAATCCTAACTTAAAATAGCTCATCCTGAATTGTTTTAGGAAGATGAAAAACTTGATATCAAAAATTTAGGTAAAAATAATCATAACAATGATGTCACCTCAGATTTAGAATAACCTTTATTAGCAGAATGAGTATGAAATAATATAAATAATTATTATATTATTATATTTAAACCTACATAATATATCAATTAAGTATTCATTTTTTCTCATTACTAAATTTTTGTTCAATATCTCATATTTCTCTTATTAAATAATATTATTATTTTATACAAATGATATTAAGTAATAATAATGATGAAACTTGATGTAATTCTAATTATTATCTTTTATCATTTTTTAGTAGTAATAATATTAAATAGTAGTAAAATGAAGATTATACTATTCTTTTTAAATCTTCATAAATTTTAAGATGGAAAATGTAAGATAACATATACGGGGTTAGATCATTTTTTAAATTTCCACAATATGTATATAAATTTTTTGAAGTAAATGAGTTGTTAATAGATTGGATTAACTTGGCTAAAACTCATATATTTCACAATTCATCCAATATCAAAGTGTACTCTTTTAAGAATACGTCTAAATAAAAATAGAGTAAATTGATTTGTTATTTAGATAAATTGAGATGCAATTTTAAAGTCAAAAGTAACTTTAAGTTCAATATATCATAACATTTAAACACAAAATATGAAATCTCTAATATTTTGAGGCTTCAATATTTTATTCCTTATTCCAAAATGAAAAAAGAGTTAATGTAATAATTCTAGAGGATTGAATGTTATTTAAGTTCAATTGAGAATTAGAAGGAAAGAGTACCTTTAGAAAATTCTTAAGAACTGATTAGAAATTGATATATAGATGTTTTAGTTGATATTGAGTAGAATTGAACTTGAAAAATCACTAAATTTTTCACCAATTTCAATTAAGTTGATTAATAATTATAATAATGAGAGTCTCTGTATGTTTTGTATGGTGTTGAAAATATCAGAATGAACTAATAGAGGATTCTAAGATGAAGTTTTGGAAATGAAGGCCTGATTGATAAAGTCTGCGTATACTAATAAGGAATTTTATGATGGGTAGAATAGAGGAGGGGACATTTGTTTTTGAAGTTGTTTCGTGTGTTTTTAGTTTGATTTGTAATGTTTTTGGTTTTCCTTGGGATAGTATCTTCCTATATATTCAAGTTTCTTTAATTATTAATCGATTGGGCACCCAAGAAAATGAAATCAAGACCAAGACAGATCGATCCAACAAAACCAGTCCTGATCTCTAACAGTCTAGAAGCATTCACTAATGCAGAAGGACAAGAAGCAGACATAAAAAACACGGAATAAATCATAACACCTGATCAACTCTTAAAAGAAAAGTAAATTGCATATAATCAATCAATTACTTATAAGGAGCAAGTAGAACATTTCAACCCACTTTATTGTGGTTTGTAACAACTTGCTTCTCGACCCCCGCCATATTTATTTTTATATTATACTCATTATTATTTAGACCCAAATAATTTGAAGAGCCCACATTAAAATCACAACTTCCTGCTAAATGTCGTGAGGATTACATCTCTTATAAGGCACCTGTATATCCAGATGGCACAACTTATGAATTAACCGAAGAGGATATTCATTTCCTCTCAACAATTAATGAAAAACTAAGCAACCCTGTTCATATTGAAGATTTTGAGTAATATTTATCACTTCTTGATTAAAAGAGCGGGAAAGATGTAGAAATTGACTTTTTAGAATTCCTCAAACTTAAACTTCCCTTACCAAAGACCATTAATATATAAATGTAATCTACTTAGGAATAATTATATGCCTACTTTAAAAAATAGAGATAGCATTTTTCTCGTCCTTTAACTAGATATCTTATGCATCCCTATTATGAAGATAATAATCCTCATCTAGCCTTTCGTCCTCGTACATAACCTATGGATAGAACAATGAAATTGAGAAGAGGTAATCCTTAGAATTCAAGAGGAGTTATTGAAATGGAAAATTTAGGATAGAAAATTGTTATGTTAAAAAAAGATCTATTGATGGTTTCTAATTTGATTGATCAAAGTCTTTAAAGAGAAAAAGCTATGGAAATTGATAGGAGATTTACTTTTTGTAAATTCATTAAAGAATTCTTTGATTAATCTAAAAGGGAAAAAGATAGTAATTCAGAAATTAAATTATGGCCCAAAGATTGCTTTGTCAGGGATTGCTCAGAAAAATGCAATATCAATATTATTGAAAAGTCGGAAGAGATGTTTGATTATATTACAAAAGAAATATTATAGTGGAAGGAGCAGAATGAAATCTAAAGAAGGGAAAAATTAAAAAAGGAAGATTAAATTATTAGATATGAAAAACAAATTGAAGATTTGATTATAGAAAAACAAAAATATGAAGAAAAACCTATTGTATAACCTCCGCCTGTTCCTTAACCACCTATCATTCCTCCAATTATACCTGTAATTCCTTAAGAACCACCTGATGAAAAAATGGAAAGTGTTGCTAGGTTCTTGGCAACTTTGTATTTAGAGGCTAGAAAATATTAATTAACATTTGATTAGGTTCTTTCTGATTCCTTTCCAATTTACAAGATATAAAATCAATAATAACCTGTCAATTCCAAGAGCGTCCTCCCTTTTTCATTGATGCAAATTGAAGGAAATGACTTAGTCTATAAAGTTAGAAAGGATAGTTTGTTAGAGAAAAAGGATAAGGCTTATTGGGAAAACTATACTGATCCATCACTATCCAATACTTTATATTATTAGAATGAATATTTTAAAGAAAAGGTCAATGATATTATGGAAATGGCAGATATGGATTAAATGGTCTATGCCTAAGGTTTGGATGATGATAAGTAGGATGAAGATGATAAATTGTTCAAAAAGAAAGTCAAAGGAAGTACGACCAGACTAACTGGTTCAAATGGAGGATAAATAAAATGATTAATAACTAATTTAGTATATAAAATATTAAATATTTAATATTCAAATGAAAGGATTCTTTGATATATTTTAATTTGGCTACTTTTAATACTCATTACTATGATCAGCAAATGGATTGCTTGGTTAATAAGTTTAAAACATTCTTGGAGGAACTTATTAATTAGTTTCATTTGCAAATGGATTATTAGATCTAGATGATAGGATTTATGAATGAATTTGTAATTATGGATTTTGAATTTATTATTATTGAACATAGGTATCATCAACTTCATCATCAAATGGATTTCTAATACCTTTTTTAAAAGATTGTTGATTATTTTAACCTTCATCAAAAGGATTCCAACCTGTATTGGATTAAACAACCATAGATTAGCTTAGTCTAAAATCTTATTATTATTGTTATTGTTATTATTATTATTATTATTATTATTATTATTATTGTTATTATTATTATTATTATTGTTATTATTATTATTATTATTATTATTATTATTATTATTATTATTATTATTATTATTATTATTGTTGTTGTTATGGTGTTGCAAATGGATTTGGGAATCCTTGATTTAGATCAGTTTAATTTGATTGCTTAATATCAGATTGTTCTAACTACTTTCTTTAGTTTTTAATTGTCTAATAAAATTATTCTTATTATTATTAAATTTATGATCTCATTTATTATTAGTTTTACTTAGAAGTCCTAGAATCCTTACACAATGCTGGTGATTCAGAATCATCTTTTAATTCTACAGCAAATTAAGCTGAAACTCTATTAAAATCTTCAAAAGGATCATTATCTGGATTCGGTGTAGGCGTTTCCCCAAATTATGGTTGTTTGATTTGGTGTTATTTTTCATTTTATTTACTATCTAAAGCAGGTTATAAATTTAATAATTTTCTAGTTTTGTTAATAAAGTTATTTTCCTATTCTTAATTTTCTGGTTAAACTGATTTAGTTTGATTTCCATTTGAAAATTCTTTGTCAAAATCTAAACATTCATGATATAATTTGCTTTCTTGGGAAGAAACATCATGTTCTATACTAATAATTGAGGATAATAGAACATTCATCATCCTTATTTTGTTTGAGATTATGTTATCCATTTTACCAATCATATCAATACAAATATTTTAGTAAGCTGTAGTTGCTTTCTCTAATTTTCTTTCATTCTATATTAATTAATAATTGATACTCTATTGATCTTATCTGAATCCTTACTATTTTACAACTCTTTCATTTTTAACTTATAATGATCATATATCAATCTATCTTCCTAATATCTTTCCAATAAGATCTTTAACTATTCCATAGTGTCAAACCATGGCTTTAATTCAAGTTTCAACTAATAAATGGGTGTCACCTTTTCACCATGTAATTCAGATATCTTTTAGAACATTTTTACAAGATTATTTGCAATTAGTTTATTAGATCCTATTTCATGTTCATAAATTTTAGTCACTATCATAGCACATTGATTGTATTGTATTTATAATTCTTCATATACATTTTATTATACATTAATGACATTAGCTGATTGTAATTAATGTTCTTTCAGCCATTTAAAAATAATTGTTTAATTCATAAGCTTCACTCTTTTTCTCCTCTAATTAGGTATTCTTAGTTATTTATTAACCCCAAAATTCTTTCCACTACCTTAAAAGTTAAATCTAGTACCTTTTAACCTGCCCTTGTAACAGCACTGCTCATTTAATTATTTATATTGTATGTTTATGAATGTACATTGTAATAAAATCAATAGAAGAAACCAAGGATTTTACCTCCGATATGTCTTTATCTAGCCTCTTCATGAGTAAGAATGCCAACATTAGTAGTTAACACAACGCATCCAAATTATCTTGCTGGTAAAATGTTATTTGCCCATCTCTCAAATTCACCTAAGGTCACATCATAACGAGGTGAGATGACTCCACATTTATTGATGCGTCCTTAAAGTAAAAAAAAATGTATACCCAATAATTCGACAACAATCTTACCACTTCTGTGATCATCTACAATTTCAAACTCTCCAATATATCCATGTCTTTACATCACTTGCAAAAATTTCACAACTAATTTTGATGTTGGTCTAATTAACACTTATTTTCTTCCTTATCTTTTCAAATTTAATTATTTATAATACCTTTCAGCATTCACAATTGAACGAAGGCAATCATTGAGAACATTCATCTTAACCATTTTAAATTAAAGATTTAAAATATATTAATATTTTATATATTAATTTTTACTCCTTTCTCCATTTACTTCATTTACAACATTTACATTTCAAATCTCTCATTTCATATAAACTCTTATATTTGCTATTATTAATACTAAAATTTTAAGAAAGTTTTTATTAATTATATTGAAATCAATATATTTTAAAGAATTATTAAATCGTCATTATTATATCTATAAATATTTGAAAATGAATAATACAATTTAAGTTATCATATTAAGTTTTAGTTGTTTAGAAATTTAAATACTCATACTCATACTAAAAGCTAAACTAAAAAATCAATATTAATCCTTATTGAGAATTATTTAATCTATTTGTTAATTAGATCATAATATTATTAGATTTATTAAATATTATTTCATCAAGAATAGCAATAATGAATCTAACATATTAATTATTCAATAAAATACAATTCATTTTATAATCAATAGTTTGATTAAGATTGAAATAATCAATTAATATATATATAGATAATTAAAATATTCAATTTTAAATAGATACATGATTCAATCAAAAACAATTTATTTAAATTTTAAACATAAATTTACAAATTTATATACATAAGTACTTGTTAATATTAATAAACATTTTATTACCTATTATTTAAAAAGCAATACTCCAATCCATTTTTAGAAATATTAATTGTATAATTAATTGAAAAATCAAATTCAATTATTAATCCTTAAATTTATCAATTTATGATTTATATTAGTTACTATACTAAAATATATTGATAAATAAAACTAATTAACATATAGATGAAAGTTTTTCCATAATTCTATGATGTAAATTAAGATCTAATACATATATAAATTAAAAGATAAAGATCTAAATAAGTTTTATTATAAATAAAATATCAAATAGAATTTCGAATTTCATTAATCAACTTTTATTAACTAGTCTTTATAATTCTGTTTAAGATATTATTCTGATCCTTTTTGGAGAATGACATTGCTTTCTATATGACAACTTCATAGGGGTTCTAAGATTCTATTAAATTGATTTAATTTATTATATACTATTAGATGCTATGTAGTAAAATGTTATCCTTTTGGAATTTCTGTGGCAGAAGAATCATTTTTATACTTTTTAACTTTATAATTGTATTTGTAAGGATTATCGCTTTCATAGATTCTTTCTGACATCAGCATGGAAATTTAAACTTTTTATTAGTTATCATTTTAAATAGGTGGAAGTTCATTATGATTTTCAGAAACTAGTTGATCAAATAATTTGAATTCAGGTTGAGCATATTAATTTTTATCAGTACTAAGTTGTTTACTCTTTTTTCTCATTGATCGATTAGTTTAGTCAGTTTCAGATTTGTAATATTATGATGTACTTAATTTTCTTATGCGACTCTAAAACATTATAATTTAAAATTACTTGTCTTTATTCAATTTATTCTTTTTCTTATAATCTTTTTAAAATAGCAAGTTGTTGATAATCATTAGATTTTTTAGCTGATTTAATAAAAGCAGCTTCTTCTAATTCTTCATTTTCATCATCTTTTAATTCAACAACCTTATTATAACATATGTCCTCTAAAGATAACAGATTTTTGCATTATTTAACTTTCTATTAAGTATTCAATTAATTAGAATTTATCTTTTGTATAAGTTCTTCTCTTAATACACAATAATTCATGTATTATATCATATTTGGAAAACTCAACGGTATAAAACTTAATTCATCTTTTTTTCCTTTTTTTTCTGTAGACTCCTTTATTTTTCTCATTAGTTCAGCAAACACTATTTATTTAATGTCTAAAACTTACTTTAAAGTGCTTCTTAGTTTTGTAAGGCTTATTTGAAGTCAGTCCAATTGAGTTTATCTGAGATAAATGATGTGCTTACCATCTTCATCTTAATCGATTCTTTTAAAAAACTCTTTAAGTTTAGTCTTGGTGATGTTAATGCCATATCGTTTGAACATATCATAGAGTTCTTACCTATCTAAGAATTCTAAAAATAAGTTGAAAGAATAAAATTAAACTTGATTTATCTCTATCAATAGATTTGAAAACAGCTTTCATCATTATTTGTTCCTTAAGTTCTTTATCATTTAAAATATATTTATCTCTGACCTAATTCTTAAATCTATTTTTCAACCAATTCACTGTTTCAAAATTTTTAAGTTTTGTAGAGACATTCTTATCCATTCTAAATTAAATATATAAATTTGAGTTAAAAATTATACAAAATTCAAATAATCAAGCCTAGAATCCTTAAACATTTGATTCTTCATTCATTTAGAATGAAATAAGTTTCTATTGTATCAAATATCTTCTTAAAAGAAACAATATAGCAATTAACATGAAGAGCATTAAAGCAAACACCATATACATATAAATGGGATCATCTTAATTATTATCAGATTTAGGAAAAGGGAGTTCATCAGGTTTTTCAGTAGGTTGTTCTCCTTTTGAATTAATAGTGTTTGTAGTTGTATTTTTATTTGAAGTTTTACTTGTATCAATAAAGAATTTTTCAAAAGCACTTATCAAAGCTGCAGCTTCTTAAGCAGATAATTTATTAAATTCTTCTTAAACTGTTAGATTTTATTTTTTTGTTTCATAAAAAAAATTTGCCAATATCATTTCTTCCTAACTAACATTTGCATGTTACCAAGTCAATGGAGAAATATATTTAGTAGTATTTATATTTTTCTGATTTTCATCTAGGATAAGTGTTTGATTAGAGATTTATTCAATCAAATTAGTTTTGTTATAGTTTTCAGGATCATCTGATGATATCATTTCATCAATATTTTCAATGACATACTATAAGATTATACTTTTATTATCCTATAAATTGATAGAATATGCTATACATCTGTTTAGTTTTGCCATTATTCAATATATTACTCTGTTTCTTGCAATCCTTCTTGATCTTATGGAATAATACTTTGAAATTATTCATTATCAATGATGTTTAAAATTGAATGGTTGCTTATTTTATTTGTAGTCTAATTAAGCACATTTTCTGTATTGACCCATAATTCTAAAGCAAAATTGGCATTATCTTGTGCTTATTATGTTGTCAAATTTAATGATTTTTCTAAATCTAGAAATCGAGTTAAATAATAGATTTATTTGATTTTGAGTGGATCATCAAACTTGGAAAAATTAAATTAGGTAGTTTATTGATGAGTCAAAGAAATAAATGTTAGAATTAGAATTTGAAGCATATATTTATTTTTTATAAATAAATTTTCTATATTGGATTTTATAAAAAAATGAATAATTATTCAAATTTAATGGACCCCGGTGAAAGGATATTTTGGATATTCAAATGGGGAGTAACTGCTGAAATTCAAATAATTTTTTTAAAGAGTTTTCATCACATAGCACTTTAAAAATGAGAGAAGTCATATCTATTCACGTCGGACAAGGAGGTATTTAAGTTGGTAATGCCTGTTGGGAATTATTCTGTCTTGAACACGGAATCCAACCAGATGGTCAAATGCCATCAGACAAGACAATCGGAGGAGGAGATGATGCCTTCAACACCTTTTTCTCAGAAACAGGTGCAGGAAAGCACGTCCCAAGAGCTGTCTTTTTGGATTTGGAACCAACAGTTATTGATGAAGTCAGAACAGGAACATACAGATAATTATTCCACCCAGAATAATTGATTTCAGGAAAAGAAGATGCTGCCAACAACTTCGCCAGAGGTCACTACACCATCGGAAAGGAAATTGTCGATTTGTGCTTAGACAGAATCAGAAAGTTAGCTGATAACTGCACAGGTCTCTAAGGTTTCTTGGTCTTCCACTCAGTCGGAGGAGGAACAGGATCAGGATTAGGATCACTTTTATTGGAAAGATTATCAGTCGATTATGGTAAGAAATCTAAATTGGGTTTCACCATCTATCCATCACCATAAGTTTCAACAGCCGTCGTTGAACCATACAACTCCATCTTGTCAACCCACTCATT